AAATTTACCCGATTTTTATCCGGATCCATTCCACACGGGATTCTAATGGAACCCTAACAGCAAATTCTGTCTTAGTAGCGCAAAGGAAGAACTCGTCCGTTGTAACGCTGCAAAGTCAGAAATTTCGAACAGTTCAGAAAGAAAAAGTTGCAGGCTCAAAACTGTATCTAACCTCAGCTACTTTCGAAAAGGTCCATGGACCCTTCGGAAAATTAAAAACAAACGGCCCCAAAGATGTTCTCACGGGAAATATTTTTTGTCGTTATAAGGGGCAATTGGCCAAATAAGCAGATTCCTTCGGACCAAAATTTTGTCCGTCTGGCCCCGTCTTCCTTCATGAAGCTACGTCTTTGTGACAAAAATAAGTGAAAAAATTTAAAGCTGGCATAAAACGTCGTAGTACTAGGTCGGAAATCGAAAAAATGATAAAAACAAAACTAATCGTTTTTAGCCAGATTACGAGCACCTCCACAAAATAAATCACGTACAACATGGGTTTCCTGTGCACTAGCCGGTTCGCTTCCGTTTTTCCACTACTCAACAAGGTAACTGTATGCCAGGCGCGTCGCAGCGTGAGTGTTTCGTGAGAGAAGCCTGTTACGCAAGACGTGTTCTGGCGTACGTCTACCTTGACTTAACAAAGCATTCCGGTAAAGCTGTAATGCAGAAGGATGCATGCATGTTAATGCATAGCGATGTCTGTTTTCTTCTTCCCCGCATTCTTCATCATTTCAGCTTTCCTGGGATGCTTTCTTGGGTTGTCCGTCACATCGTCAAAACGTAGTTAAGTCAAAGTAGTTAAGTCAAAACGTAGTTTATTTGAATACATTATAGATGTACCAAGTGGCTCTGTATGGTCTTGGATAAGAACAAGCAGGTGTCTGAGAATGGTTGCTGTTGCTACCCCCTAATATAGGAGGCTGAACTTACGTCACTCTTATGAACGCCTTTCTTTTCATCGTCCCAACCGCTGCGGAACTTCCCTAAAGCCACGGCGAGCTGATCAGGAGACACTTCTTTCTCGTTGTATCTTTTGGCTACGCAATGGGCGGCTAAGGCAAGCAAACAATAACCACACTATGCATCAATACGTTTCGTGTAAGCTTTTTATTTGAATGGTAAACAGTTTATTTTGACAAGTAACAGGTCATTGTGCGTGAATTTTTTTAATCCGCATGTCTCTTGCACCCAACAGATATCGAGGAGCCGTTGTAGCGGGAGACCACGGATGCATTACACACCGACCCACCTAGCGTCTTGTACCTCTTTAAGCTCTCTGTGTAAATGATTTCTTCTCATCTACACTTTAAATGCTTGCTTTTACTCACCTGAGAGAACGACGGTAGATGTGATAAGCGAACCACCGCATATGCCAGTGTAAGTCAAACCCTTCTTCAGATATATCCCAGCGTGCCACGGGAAGGTTCCGAGAGGAGCCAGTGTCTCGCTAAACACCAGAGGGCCATCCGCTCTTGCCGCAATCCCGCAGCCTGCAAACGAAACCAAATAACAAAAGATAGCTTAAACATCAAGCCACAGAAAAACTGTGTGGATGATGGATGCAGCGTGTGTTTCAGTATTTGTGAAATATTAGCAAAGTGAGCTCTCGAAATAATTTTTGGTGCCAACATCGAACTCCTTGAAATTTTTGATTAGCTCACATAAATCCCACTTCGTTTTCTATACCCATCAACGCCCTTCCCAGTTCAGTTACTTGAGCTCTGAACCCTACCACACAGACGCATAGTAATGACCTTTAAATTGAAATCTTTCTGATTCCTGTAAGCGAAGGCACACACAAAAGCCAGTAACTTAAGCTTTTAATTTTAAAGATCTACTTTGCCAGGGTGCCAAGAATGGCATTACTCACTCTGTTCTTTTGACTCTTTCGTCAAAACGTGCAGATCGTAGTAGAACTTGTATATTTGGCTGTCCCAATCGGTATGCGCCATGTACTCCTTTGTAGTCTTGTTTAAGGTAGGCCAAAAGACTAAAACTTCGCCGAGTTTGTTGACTTGTGACCTGACGATTCCTTTTGGCCCTGGCGCCATATCTTTGCTATAGGGACTTGACCAGCTGTCATTGCTGTGAACTACGAGAGAGCCGATCTTCATGCGGGCTGCAGCCTCGGGACCTCGCAGTTTGAGGGCACCAGCTATAAAGCAAAAAACATCATCCAGATCAGACAACACCAGTATCTCTAAAGTGTTGTCGAGATGCCCGTCGCCAATCCAAACAGATATACCTGATGCGCAGTCCTGCTCATCTTCCCCATCAGCACAGTCGTAGACTCCGTCGCAGACTAGACCTGGATTCAGGCATCTCTTTTCTTTGCAGTACAGCGCACCGCCTTGACACCCAGCGAATGCTCCACTCGATTCTGGGTGGATGGGACGAAATCACAGTAGAAAATTCTGAGTAGTGACCACTAATTATTCAGACGGTGCCAGACGAATACCAATTATTTTGGGACCATTCTCGGACGAGTTTAAGAAGCCTTTCGGGAAAACTTTCAGTCGGATAAGGGTGACAACAATCAGAAAAATTCAAGATTTTAGCGCAAATACCAAGCTCGTAAAACGTAGAAATACAAAACTGTTTATTGCTCGAACTTTGTAAAAAACTCTCCTGTTAATAGACCATAACGCTAAGCCGAAAAAGAAGAAGAGAAGGAAGAAGCAAAAACATTTTTTGGGACACTATGGACCCTCTAACACAGCATTTTACAACTCTTACATGTTCAAAATTATTTTCTAGAGCAAATGTGATATTTTTACGACAACAAATCTAACAGCGTACCGCCGTACTCAGCGGTCTTCGACCGCCCCGCGGACGGCATGCGATCACCTCGGTGATCGTCCCGGACCGCTCCCGGCCCGCGCTCACCTGGCGTCCATACACCTCGCTGACCCCGCAGCACTTCCGGCCTTATCCGGTAGTGCGTGCGATAGAAGGGAGAAGGCGCCGAAGTTATCGGCACGGGTCGCGACGGATAAGCACGCGCAAGGCGTGGTCCAGTACATTAAATACGCCGCCAGGTAGCCGAGCTAGACAGTTCGCCTAGTACAGTGGTCGGCACGCCGTTATGCTCGTCAGCAGTCTCGCCCCGCGAAGCCGCGTCAGCGCAACCGAGTAGGCCGCTAGGAAGTGTTAGTGTGAGTAGCCCAAGTGAACGTGACCCGGACCATGTACCTACTGACTTGTGACTCCGCGAACCCGACAGTGCATACCCACCTGAGGGCCTAAGACTTACACCCCCGGTAAAGACTCTATCCTCAGACCCTCACCCCCCCAAAAGGGTATGACAAATCACTCACAAATCGGCCTTTTCAGCCCTAAAACGATACCTTTGCTTCTTCCTTCTCTTCTTCTTTTTCAGCTCAGCGGAATGGTCTATTATGTTAGGCAGCTTTTTCTCTTGCCCTATGTTCTTATGTTCTCATTTTGGCTTGCGGAGGGAAAAAATCCAGTATGTAAAAAATGGGGAGGGGGGATGATTCTGCCATGAGCACGATGTAGAAAACTCCGATGGCGGCTCTCTATTTTCCAGAGCGCGCGAAAGATGGCACCAGATTTCTTGACCTTGACGCTGTACTTGCCGTGACCGCCACAGCACGGCAGTTGGCAGACACTGCCTTATGAAGACGAGATCCGCTGCCACCTTCTGCAGCGAATACGCCCTACATCGTGGTCATCAGAAAGAAGTAGATAAGGGCGTTAAGTATTAAGTAATGAGAAGTAATGAAATACTACCTAAATGTGAGCTTTAGAATTGAAGTATGAAAATCATTAGGGTATTTTTTATAAAGAACTTAGTATGTAACCTTCAAGCGTAATTCGATGTAACCACCAAGATGTAAGTTTACCTCCACCTTTCCTCATAAGGTAAATTGTTTTCTTCATTAAGTTTGCCCTTTGCATTTTAAACTAACTGATTTTGCTTCAGTTATGTAGAGTCGGGGACGACTTGATTCCCAAACGGCTCGGCTGTTGTGGCCAATTCTACTAACACAGTCAAAACACACGGTTTTGAATATAAGCGCCCCACTGTCGGTCAGAGTGAGCGGAGGTATGGATTTGTGCTAGCGTAAGGGATTTACCCCCCGTGCGGGGAGGGCTCGAGCCTGGCCGACAGGACAAGGCAAGCCACTGTTTCAGAGTGGAACGTTTGAGCCGTGTATTTTCTAGCGGCCCAATACACGTGGTTGGATACCTACCTACAGTGAGCAGTTATTCCCTGACTGAACACCACAGCCACAACAGTGCGACTTCAATCTCTCAGACAGTTCCTCTCACCGTGCTGCCTCCACCAGTGACGCTCGCAGTGGGCCTCGTCCTCGCCGTCTATGCAGTCCATCTGGCCGTCGCAGACCAATTTCTCCGGGACGATGCTTGGCCCGGCGTTGCACAGGAAGCGCTTCTGGCGCGGGACGATGCGCTCTTCGCAGTTCTCCTCGTCCCGGCCGTACGGACAGTCGTTGATCCCGTCGCAGAGGAGCTACAGAGAGAGCACGGCGGAGAGCCCCTTGAGCAAGGAAGTGCATTTTTAAAGATCAGCCTGGGCCCTATTTTTTGATAAACTGCTGCTTGCGATACGATACCTTCTGATGCAGGCACTGACCCCCGGGTGCGCACTGAAAGGCTCTGGGGCTGCACCAACGGCACTCCATCTCGTCTGTTTTATCGGCGCAGGTTGGCAGCCCGTCACAGACAAAGTCCCGGTGAATGCAGCGACCCTCGTCGCATGCGAAGCGGTCTGCTGGGCAATCTGAGGCCATGAAACTGCACTTATTGTGCTGTAAGGGACCCCTGCTCAAGTGTATTTTACGCCATCTTTTAACCGGGCCCGTAAGGGGGGGAAAGGGGAGGGGGGTTGTCGCTTCATGCATTTACGGAGTTCTCTATTTCTGCTTGAGTACTGGCTGTTGAAACATTGCATTATTCCTTTTGACCACTATATCCACGCATAGTACTTATCCGACATTGGTGCAAAGGAAAATTCTGAAACCTATATGGGTAGAATGCAACTCACAACTCGCCTATGAGGATATTCCAATTCGGATATATAGAAAACACCCTGTGTATGTAAACTAGGTTAAGGACACATTAATAAGTAATTTACTAAAGAAATATTAAAACGATTCAAAAAAGCATTCTACAATCGTTATTTACAATTACAGTCTACGCTTGGACCTATAGTTTCTGCAAAGGGTACAGAGAGACTCTTTGAGCACTTACCCTTTTTCTCGGCAACCACTATGCTGAGGTCGTACTTGGTATCGTTACCCATGCGCACGCGATGCACTTTCCCAGAGCTGGTCCAGTTAACGCTGACCCAGCCGTCCAGGTCGATGGGCGAGAGGACAACTCCAAGGCCCGACCCGTCCGAGTCGCCCCACTGCCAGTCGCGGCCGCGCCTCACCACTGAGTTGACTTGCAGGCGAGCTGCCATCTCCAGCAAGCTCATGCTGCCCGGTCCATCTGGGACATCGAACCAGACGAGAAAGGCCTAAACTGCCTAAACTACACACACTAACAAAATCCATTCGACTTTGCACTGTAAACTGGTTGGCGTTTCCGACTTTAATTCACGGGAGCTTGACAAAAATATTGCGAACAATGTAATCAAATAGTTTACGTGACTGAGGAGCATCTGAATGGCAAGAGTCCTATACAGTGTGGAAGTTATATTAGTACCTGGTGCACAGCCGTCTTCTTCGTGGGTGAAGGGATACTCCGAGACACCGTCGCACACTGTGCTCGGCTTGACGCACTTGAAGCTGAGCGGGCAGTCCTGCCCGCAGTGGAAGGCCCCGCCCTGGCACGAGTTGCAGTGATACTCATCACCGTCGTCGCAGGTGTTGTAGCCATCGCAGTGGTACTCCAAGTCTAGCGTCCTGTTGCCGTAGCAAGTGTACCGTTGAAGGGCACTTTTCTAGAGCAAAGGATACCGGGCAATACATTCCCATTTGATTAATCTTTCACAACAGCAATCTACTACAAACCATTTGGCATCGAATTTACTTTCAAAAACATCGCCGGTCGATAAAAGCCGACCCTCGAAATAAAATTCTAATATCTGTTCGTCGGCTGCCGCATGGACTCAACCGTGCTCAAGGGGGGCGGCCAGGAGGTCTCCCTCCAAGATTGTCAGCACGAAGACGTCTGTACCCTCCTGCCTCCAACCATCGAAAGACTTTCACGTCTCTGCTGGAATACTTTTGTTGCAGTCCCCACAGCCAAGGCGCTGTTGGCAGGAGTACCGATAAGATGTGCTCTGTACCTCCGGGCAGTCGACCTCATCTGTTCCACCGATGCAGTCCGGCCTCCCGTTGCAGCGCGCGCCGCGGTGCAAGCAGAGGCCGCCGTTGCAGCGGAGCGCCCTGCGGCTGCAGGTCTGGCAGCCCTCCTCGTCCGAGCTGTCGTCGCAGTCCGCCTGGCCGTCGCACACAAACTCGTTGGCGATGCACCGCTCCCCGCACTTGAACCGCCCCGCCTCGCAGGGGGAGCCAGTGGCAACGCGAGTGAGGACCGCAAGCAGGAGCACCAGGGTACACTATAACAAACCCAAACACACCACAGAGAGAAGCATTTACTTTGCATTACAAAACTTTTTCTTTGTGTCTTATAAAGTTTATTTCCTTTCTAGCTTACAAACCATTTGCTTACGGCTCACGGAGGACTAGCAAATGCTTTGAATAAAAGAGCAGCCAAAATGCTTTGAAAGCTCTCGCCTACTTTATAACGTCTCTCTTTTTTTATTTTAATGATGCTCTGTGCGTTTTGAGAAGAAGTCATAAAATTCGAACTGAAACGAGTGAAACACTCTCTAAGAATTTCGTCATTTCACGATAATAACGAGCATTATGCGTCAATTACAGTTTCGAACTGTTCGTAACAGTATAAAACAAACTTGTCGTAGTACCACGATTTAATACTGCCAATTAATTAGGATGTTAGTGTATTTGTTTCAATAATTTTTGCGTCCTGGACCGTTCTTTTATGATAACGATCGAGTTACAAACTGTTCGTTATTTTACAAATGAATTCGCTACTTTATAATAACGAAGAGTTTTTGTAGAAAAATTAACAGGACATTTTTCGTCAAATTACTCCAACAGTGTACGAAAATTTCGCCGACATCGCTTTCTCATTTTACTTGCTACATTTTATTGTCATTTTTTAAACGAAATATGTTGTACATTTGTGACAGACTTTGTGACAGTCGATCAGTTCCAAGTCGATACGTCGTGTTTGTTAATTTACAATTTCAAATTGTAATTTTATGGCACAACATGGACAATTTTCTCGTAAATCTACGACAATTTTCTCAGTGGGTACAGTTTGACATAAATGCTCTAAAGTGACCGCAAGTAGTCCTCTTGTAACTGTCAAGGTTCATCTGCACTGGTTTTAGCAGTTGTTTCAGAACTTGTCCGGGACTGGTTTTCTTAACTCTTCAATACGAACAGACGGGACCGTGCATTGCAATCTAATAAAACCCAGCCCATAATGGCTGCTCACGGTGGAAAATTGTCAGACAGGGTACGTGAAAATTTTCCGCGGATGAAATCGTTCAACAACAATATTCAGGATTGTAAATGTGAGAGCACTCGATTTCAACTTTGAGATCGAATGACGAGCGAGAGTTGGATCTTGAAGGGAAGTTATACAGGTGAGCCTAGTTTTGTAAAATGGCAAATTACAATGTATGGCACATACGCGATCCTAATTTTTAGTGGTCGCCTCGTACTTGGAATGTAGCATCAAGTATAACTACCGAACGTTTCAAACCGTTACACTGTAAGTTGAACAAAGTTTCCGGCGCTGCGTTACCTGCCGCAGGTACACCATCGCAGTGAGTGACGGCACACAGCCGAGTGCTGTGATGGTCACGGCTGGACTCGTTGCGCTCGCTCAGCTGCCTGACTGGAGAGGAACGCCGCGATGGAGCGGACAGGAGGTGGGGTGGGGAGGGAGGGGCCTCAGGCAGGACTGGTTCGAGAAGGAAAGACCCGTGCCAAGGCAAGCGTCTGAGTAACACGCCAAAAAATAGTGGCCGAGTGAAATTCGCAGCCATAGATCACGCCACTTATTGCCTCGATAAGTTCTCGCTTCCTTTCAAAATTCAATAGACGGTTCCCACTGTCCCCATTTCAAGAAAAAGTAAGGAAATCGTCACCGGAAACAGTTCAGAAATTACGGTCAAAACTAGTTCATCCGTGAAAAATTTTCGCGTGCCCTGTTACATGGACTTTTTTGTGGCCTTCAAAATGAAACTGTTCAGATAGATATGGAAAATAAGCGGACTTTGCATACTGGTTCCGGTCTTGATTTCCCTACTTCTTCTCGAAACGCGCAGGGCGTGAACCGTCTATTCATAGATCAGTATTCCCGCCTTCACTAGTAAACCTATACTGTTGGGAAAAAGCATGCAAAGATAGCGATCAAGCAATAAATGTGTCATCGTTGAAATCTGACTGAATCACTCGAAAACTTTCCCTTGTAATGGAAAGAACCCGAAGAGACAACATTTCTTCTGTTTGGCTCTAATCTCTAGCCGTTTGTGCGCTAGAGGGAGTTTTCCACACCTCCAAAATAGCATTCTTTGATTGTTTTTTTTTAGAAGATTGTCTTGATTCAATTTTGATTTCTTAATAAGAAGAAACTTCTTCCTTCATTCAAGAAAATTTGCTACATTAAACCAAGAAATAGCGAAAACAAGCGGATATTTGCCTCAAATCACGAATCAATTTTCTGGGTGCAGTGGAAATGACGAAAAAACATCAACGGTTTTCCTCAGATATTTGGCCAGGGCACCGGGCACCTCTAACTTTAACAAACTGTTGAGAGAGAAGTCAGTGCACCTAATTGTAAGCTAACCGTTAAGCGAAAAATATCTGGTACAAAATCAACACATTCCGATAATTTTAGGAGATATTTAACGAAAATGGTTTCGAAATTTGTATCCTTGATTTTGAATCTTGCTTCAGCTCTTGAATAGCTATATCGTCTTACCGATTTTTGCATGGCAGTGTGGTTCTTGTTTTTGTGGTGTTTCGTTTCGGTTATACGAGTTGAAAGACCAACTATCCATCCAAACGGCCAAACGTTCAGCATAGAGGACCATAAATTATCTTAGAGAAAATGGGCTTTGGAAAGCTGTATGGAATGTCTATCATAGACTTAAAACACCATGGAAAAAATTGTTAATGGAAAGCAAAGTGACATATCGAAAGAGCAAGCTATATGATGAGCCGCATGTCACGTCTAGTTTGCAGGATGAATGACCCATCATAACTACACACTTGGACTTGTTTTTTTTATTATTTGTACGAATTTGAGTAATCGAATTTTTTGCACACATTTTGGCGTTGATTTGAACACTTTTGTGTATTCATTCGTGGAAAATCATGTACTTGTGCCAAATTTGTACGAAACGAAACGCAGGTTGAACTTAGTGCGAACGGTTGCACGAAAACATACAAATACATTTAGTGTGTACACTTCCAAGGACTAGTGCGTCGTCTTATAAAATAAAATGACTGCGATTGACCGTGGTTGCAGAGGCGACGCGAGTCGGACTTGTCTGAACGCCACCCTTGATGTGACATTGTGGGCTGATCAACAGCGAGAGCTAACTTGTCACTTTAGTGTTACTCTAGAATAACACTGCTGTTCTACTCTGATGCACACTTAACTAAACATGTCCGCTTTTCTTGAATGCCCGTCCATGACTACTTCAGGTTCACTCTACTACCCCTCCAATACCGCTTGAAATTAAACTTTTTTTGCACCTTTTACCACCATTGTTGTACTACTTGAATGCCACCTGACGCCTTAAACACTTAGTACTACGCCCCTGCCACTTAGCTCCTTATTATCGTCCAGGTAAAGGTGAGGAGAAGTCGTTGGAGCATAAAATAGACTGGTTGTTATCAGAGGTCTTGCTTTTATTTGCGCCAGCCGTTAAAGTAGACGTTTTTGTAATTTCCTTTACTCATTGCCATGTACTTGCCAACATTCCAATCCCGTGTTTTCGGCTTCGCTTTATCACTTGTTTATAATCTTCTCCCTGTCCGTTTCCGATTTTGCTCAAGACACTACAAGGGAGACGTACATCAGGCTCGCGTAACATGCTTCACCAGATCGCCCGAACAGAAACTGTTCCGCTGCGACTCGCCTGGTGCCCATCCACCTTGGTCTGCGGCGCTGTCACCAGATTCGGACATCTCGACATAAAAACATTCCCGATTGATTCATTTTTAGGAAGAAGTCATTTCAATGTAAGGAGTTTCCCTCGAACTATGGAGGTTCCTAAAAGTTTCCCCTCCTCCCCCAAACACGGAGTTGTTTCAGCTGTACGCAGCTCGGGCGCCGCCGCCGCCACTCGAGCCGCGACACGATACCGCGCGGCATGCTGTGGGCAGCCGTCGCGGCCCTGGCCACCCTGCTCGCAGTCACCGCCCAGACTCCTGCCGAGGCGGACCAGAACCAGGCGAGGGGGGTAGACTGGTCTGGGCAGGGGAGTGACCGTGTCCGAGGCGACGAGGACCAGGGCGGCAGCCAGCAGGCATGGCACGCTGACAAGCGCATCACGAGGGGGCGTGAGGCGTACCGCGGGCAGTTCCCCCACCAGGTGAGTAACGATGTGCGCCAGACAATGACAGGGCCACGCGGCGGCGCTGGACTCAGTCGAGAACTCCGCCCAGGACAACACGGTCTGCCACCCGAGGGTTCCACAGTTTTCTGGGGCATCAATAGTGTGCTGGGAAAACAGAAGACCTGAAACGTCCCTGTGTGCAGGCCGGAGTATGCTTTGGACGCCTCAACTGCTGCGGAGGCTCACTCATCTCGCAGCAATGGGTACTGACAGCAGCCCATTGCCTAACGGGGTTTGTATAGCGTGGACTCCATACTATAATTTGAGTATGCTAAGGTTATTGCCAATAGTCGGTGTGCTATATTTCAATTGTAGGAAGACGAAGGACAAGGTAACGGTTAAATTGGGCACAAACAGGTTGGACGTCAAGGAAGACGGACGAATGCAGGTGAGACCAGGTTCAGAGGCGTGCGCTTTACTTGAAATCTGGAAAAAACAACATATACAACATAAAATATTATGTTGGTTTCGTGTCTTTTGTTTTGGTTTAGTAGTGGAGGTAGTCCGATGGTGGTTGCAGATAAAGGCCAGCCAGATTATCTCCCACGAGAGTTTCCGTCCCAACGACAAGTACATTCACCACGACATTGGGCTGGTGAAGCTGCAGCGGCCAGTGAAGTACAACAGTGCGTGAACAAGGTGCCCGACTCTACAGATAAACAAGGAGCGTGCGACGTGACAATTATAGACCAGGGGAACGTTCTAGCGAGCGCGATAGAACGTTCTATGGTTTTGACTCAGGATACAGGCTGAACACCATTTAAGTTACAGCAGCCAAAGTATTTTTTCTCCGTGAAGCCTGTTGCAGAAGACGTCCTTTTATCTGATGCATTTGCTCACGGCCAGACACCTTGCACTGCAGAGCTGATCCAGCCGGTGCGCCTCCCCACCACGGAGGAGGCACGGGACAAGCACCACGGCCTGTGGGGGAAGATTAGCGGCTGGGGCGCCACCCGCACCGATGGCTACCAGAACCCGAAGCTCAAGTGGGCGAGGCTTCCCGTCTCGCAGCCCGGCAAGTGTCGCTTCCTCGACGGGCCCTCAGCGCACACCCAGTTCTGCACGGACGTGTACGACTACAAAGGCAAAGGCACCCAAGGCCACGGCACTTGCTCGGTGAGATGAAAGACGTCTGCGTTACGATGTCTGCATTTCACCTTAGTTTACGACAGTGAGAAAGTGGACAATTTTATTTTCTCAGGTTTAGGTATGAGGTGCTGCCTCTACTTTGGAGGGTACACAACAAATATACTATAGGCTATCACATAAAAAAAGTTCCGACCAGAAACGGATCGTGAAAGCAGATGATACCTTTTCAAGAATTATTCTATTCCAGTCTGTTATATTTCCGTATTTACACTTGTGGGGAAAGGGAGGGGGTGGGTGGCGGTGCGGTGCGGGGGCTCCAGTGGTAGAAGGGAGGGGGGCTGCCAGCGCTAGCGCGGCCGACTCGGCTCGGGGCTCGGGCTCCGCTCGGGGCTCGGGCTCCGCTCGGGGCTCGGCTCGGAACTCGGCTCGCCTCAGCAGCGCTACAAACGCGTGGCGTGGCGGGGTGGCGTGGCTGACGCGACGGCGGCGGGCGACGTACGCCGCCTCACGACCCCGCCTAGCAGGCCCAGCCCAATACGTATATGAGCTTTCTTCTGTTTCTCTTTAATATTTCTTAATCGAGAGTAAAAGCAATGACACCTTACATTACTCATGTATAGTTATATGTATGTTAAGTGTAAGTAAGTTTAAGT